TGGGCCTGCGGGTACTTCTGGAGCGGGAGCTGCTTCGGGTGCTGGCGCGCAGGCTACTGCTGTCGGTCCTAGAGGCGGTCTTGCTGAGGGTGCTACTGGTGCTGCTGGAGGTACTGGAGCTGGAGGTGCTGCTGGTGTTGGTGCTACCGCTGGGGGTACTGGTGTTGTCCCTGCTGTGTCTGCAGTCGCCGCGCGGCCTCGGCCGTACTCCGTTCCGCTCCTTCAGCAGGTTCTTGGTCTCCCGCCTTCTACTGGTCCTCCTCCTCCCTTAGAGTGTCCACAGCCTGTCCCGTCACAGTTACAGTTACAGCCGGCCTCCCCACTGCCTGCTCCGTCTCCCTACACTGGTCCTACTGGAGGTCTTGCTGAGCGTCGTGAGCTTGCGTCTCGCCCTGCGTCGCCTGTCCGTGCTGCTCGCACTAGTGGTCGCGGTTCGCGTCAGCGTCCTCCTCCTGTCCCTGGCACGCACTGGATGTCTCTGCGTCCGTCCACTGCTCCTCTGCGTGCCCCTTTGCCTTCTCCTCCTGAGTTTTCTCTTCCTGCTCTTGCCGGCCCGGAGTCGGACTCTCTTCATGCTGCCAGTCCTACTGTCACGCGTCTCCTTGCTACTGTTGTCACTGACCCTTCCTTTGAGTCCACTGCTGCGTCTGCCCTAGTTGCTGAGCTCGTCGACTTTGCTGCTCGCTGTCGTCTAGACTACGCTGCCAGTCTTGTTGCTGAGTCTCAGTCTGTCTGTCCTCCGTCCGTCGGGGGTGAGTGTGCCCTTGGCATGGACGTCCTTGAGGACAGGCAGGAAGAGTTCCACTGCTTGGCCGCTGCTTCACCTCATCTCGTGTCCGTACTGCTTACCCTTGAGGGAGACCCGGATGCACTTGACATCCCGACTCCGCGCTCTCACGCAGAGGCGATAGAGGGTCCCTACTCCTCTCAGTGGCAGGCAACTATGGACGCAGAGATGGCTTCCTGGAAGTCCACAGGCACCTACGTTGACGCCGTTCCCCCTCCTGGGGCGAACATCGTCAGTGGCATGTGGATTTTCAGGGTGAAGCGGCCGCCGGGTTCTCCACCTGTCTTCAAGGCGCGTTACGTGGCTCGTGGCTTCAGTCAGCGGCAGGGAGTTGACTACTTTTAGACCTTCTCTCCCACCCGGAAGATGACCACTCTTCGGGTGCTGCTGCACATAGCCGCTCAGCGCGACTACGAGCTTCACTCTCTTGACTTCAGCACTGCTTTCTTGCAGGGCAGCCTGCACGAGAAGATCTGGCTGCGCCGCCCACTTGGCTTCACTTGGACTTTTCCTCCTGGCACCCAGTGGAGCCTCCAGCGGCCAATCTACGGTCTCCGCCAGGCACCGCGTGAGTGGCACGACACACTGAGGACTACACTTGCGGCTCTTGGGTTTGCTCCCTCTACTGCCGACCCGTCGCTGTTTCTGCGCACCGACACTTCTTTGCCGCCGTTCTACATCCTCGTGTACGTCAACGACTTGGTCTTTGCCACAACTGACACTGCTGGACTCGCCCACGTGAAGTCGGAGCTGCAGAAGAGACACTCATGCACTAACCTGGGTGAACTGCGCAGCTACCTTGGCTTGCAGATCACTCGGGATAGAGCACGTCGCACCATTACCCTGACTCAGTCACACATGGTGCAGCAGGTCCTTCAGCGCTTCGGCTTCACGTACTCCTCGCCCCAGGCCACTCCTCTGCCTACTCGCCACTCGCTCTCAGCTCTGCCTTCGGATGAGTCCGTAGAGTCAAGTGGCCCGTACCCTGAGCTTGTTGGCTGCCTCATGTACCTGATGACCTGCACACGACCTGACCTTGCATACCCACTTAGCATTCTCGCACACTATGTTGCTCCTGGGAGACACCGACCAGAGCACATGGCTGCAGCGAAGAGGGTGTTGCGCTACTTGTGCAGTACGTCGGGCATGGGGCTAGTGCTTGGAGGGCGCAGTCCAGTGGTCCTCACTGGGCACGCAGACGCTTCTTGGGCTGACGACCAGGCTACGCAGCGGTCGTCACAGGGTTACACCTTCAGCCTTGGTTCCGGCTCTGTCTCGTGGCGGGCTACTCGCTCGTCTTCTGTTCTCGGCTCCAGTTGTGAGGCTGAGATCTACGCTGGGGCCATGGCTGCACAGGAGCTTCGCTGGCTCACCTACCTGCTGACTGACCTCGGAGAGCCGCCTCGTTCTCCTCCAGTACTGTACGTAGACAACAAGGCCATGCTGGCCTTGTGTCGAGAGCAGCGACTGGAGCACAGAACAAAGCACATTGCTCTCCGCTACTTCCTTGCTCGTGAGCTACAGCAGCGTGGACAGTTGCGGCTTGCGTACGTGGCCTCTGAGACCAACACTGCTGATGTTTTCACCAAGGCACTTCCGCCTTGTGATCATCAGCGCTTCTGCACTCAGTTGGGTCTTGTCCCTGTCTTGCCTCACTTGCTCACCTCTTGACCTTGCTTGTACTGTTACATATATATACCTGCTCTTGCTTGTCTGGCTTTATATATATATGAAATCGTGCATGTGAACTGGCCTTGTGGCCTTGTACTTGTGCTCGGAATGTGTGGTGACTTTGTGATCCACCCTGAGCTTTGCTCTGATTTGCTTTGCTTGACTGGTCTTGTGACCCCCTGTTCTCCCCACTTTGCCTATGGGGGTGTGTCAGAACATTATAGCTTATGCTTTTGTGTAGGTTGTAGTGGGGTATCCCATAGGGGGTACAACCTAATTAGGGTTAGTACTTGTACCCACTTCATTCATAGTTCATTCATTCTCGTTTCAGTTTTTCTCAGCGTAGTCCGTCGGCTTCGTGACGATGACACGCCACCAATCCATGCGGGTCCTCGCAGCAGCGACACGTCATACCGAATCTCCGCCGTATCCTCTGAGACGTAGTTGGCGTCAAAGAAGACGTTCATCGTGAACAACCACGCCTGAACGGTAGGACCAACCCGTTGACTCGGGTTAAAGCATGGCGGACACAGCGGCATCGGCGATTGCAGTGTTGATTCGTCGACCGGCACAAAAATCGTCACGCGGGGTTGACTTCTGGCCACATTCGTTGCTTCGGGGTGTGTCATGCCGTAATCGTCGTCTCCATCGTTGCGGACGACGACATCAATGGCCGCACTCGCGTGTTGCCCCACACTTCCGTGGTGCGATGCCTGTTGTGCGGGTTGTCCCGGTGTGCCTTGTGCTTGCGATTGTGCTTATTGTGCTCGTGCGACGTCATTTTGCACGGACGTAGGTTCTGCCGTTAGTGCCGCGATTTCTTTGGAGTTTTCGCGAAGTTGCTGCAGCAGTTCGTTTAAGCGGTCCTGGGTGAGCATAGTGACGTCAATGTATTCAGCCATGGCGAAGGGCGTCGGCTCAGCTTAGTCTAGGCACAGTCGTGGCTGCACGCGTTTACGAGAGAACGCGAGGACAGTGGCTCCTAGGTGCTAAGGGGCGTGATTCCCTTCGAGTGATAAAATCAAAAGTTGATTTCCTGGGGTGCGGAGATGCGCGGTCCGAAAAAAGAAAGTAGCTCTGATACCAAGTGTTATGGGTGTAATGAATCGAGGTAACGAGGATTGCACTAGGGTGCCAAATAAGTACAAAGTATGAGCGAAGGCATGAGGACGCGGTGAAAGCAGACGATCGATCGTCAGTTGCGATCGGTGTGTGGATCGGTTACCCTGTTTACTTCTGTGTAACCATGCTAAAGTGAGATTTTTGTCCATTTTTGTGCACAGTGAGTGAACGCGACTGATCACCGATCGCTATAAAACTTACGCAGCATCAATGCGCAGATGATGTGCACCGAACCTATCACAACATGCACGATTGATGCTGATGCCTGCGAAATGCTGAAATTTCGCAGTGCGATAACGAAGACGCGCATGATCCTGGCTTTTTGCGGAATTCAAGCTGGTTGCTCTATTAGTTGCGAATGTCTCATGTGTAGTTGGGCGAAGGGGTTTTTCTTAGACGGTGTCGTAGGCAAAGCAGAAATCTTCTTTCTGTAACATCCAACCCATCCCGCAAGGGCGATCGTTACAACCGCATGGGCGCATCGTTTCGCCAACCGATCCGCCCAATCGAGTCTGCGGATTGATATACACGCGCGATCCTGCGATATTCTCACTTTCACCGCGTCCTGAGCGAATACTTATACGCGAAACATGCAAACGGTAACGCGGTGCGAAAGAGTTAGCTAGTGCTAGGCTGGCATCGAGGTTCGGGCTAGTCCCGAAGCGTAGGCCGACTCCACCGGGCCAGCGGTGCAAGGTTTGGTGAAACAGTGCGCGCGAAGTTGGCGAAGCCCCGTTAGCAGTAACGGGCGAACAACGGTTGCGTACGCGATGTTGACGGTTGCAGTAAGGAACAGAGAGCAAATTCCTTAGAAGGAGCATGATCGATGGTGTCGCCTGCTGGTTGATCTGGCGCACCTTCTTATAACTACTTTGTGTCACAAGCACTGTGCTTCACTACGAACCGCCATCTTGTGTAGGCCCTTGACAAGATGAGCTGGCCGCCATGGATTTCTCCGCGGATTAACGAGAACCTATTTCGTGAAGGTTACTTATCAGTTCGTTACTCTGAGACCATTTTCGAGTTCCTGAGTACATTACAAAGCGGAGGATATAAATTTTATGTCTACTACGCGGACATTATAACCTCGGCTACTCAGAGGTATCTCAGTGTTCCAAACACATTTCAAGCTAACCAACCTCAAGGGTTCCTTGATACTTCCGGCAGTTTCCAAGGCTCCTACAATGGACATCGCAACTGCAATGAAATTAAAAACAGAAACAACTACACTCCTGATCGCTATGCAAGACATGATCCCAAGGCTACGACCTCGGGAGTTCATCATTTCCTTCAGGAGAGCAAGTCACGAGCTCCGAAAACCATATATAAGGAGGTGGTGCTCAGTCCTCAAGCAGCATCAGCTCCTTCTTGGTCTCAGCCTTTTCTCAAACGGCTGCTTTCTAAGACTCATCATCGCACCATGCCTCCGAAACGGACGTCGAAGGTCACTGCTGATGTCACGCTCCCGGACGACCTCCTAACGGATCCGATCACCACGCCGGCTCCTGTTGTGGATGGGGCTGAGAAGCAAGGCTCAAACGATGCGGTTACTGTTAATGGAGTCACGGACAATGCTGCGCAGTCCGTCAAGGAATCGGCTACTACTGCTGCTGGCGTCGCTGGTGGTTTTGGACTATCAGTGGAAGAGAAGTTTCAAGACAACCAGGCTCCTCATGCTGTGCTTGACGAGTTCCTGGAGGATGATGAGGATGAAGAGCTGGAGATCGACATTGCCAAGGAAGATGCTTTTCGTCTTCGTTATACAGCAATCTTACTCATTCCGATGGTGCTTTCTCAGGAGATTAAGGCCATTATTGCTGCAGTGCGTCTTCTGATGACCAAGGTCTGGAGCTCTTCTCTAACCGAGAACGCTGGGGTGACGGCTAACATACAGGAGATGATACCTGGTTTCGTCGCGAAGACACGATTCTGCCGGCTTCAAATCTCCTTCCTTGACGAACGGGATGCGCATCACATCAAGTTTCATGTTTTTGAGTACCAGAAGGCGAATGCTCCGGCGATCAAGTGCATCTGGCAGCATACAGAGAATGCTTCGTACCTTAAGGAGAAGGCTACTCGTCCCCTTGCTATTGAAGTGGTGTTCCGGCGAGTGCCTACTAACATTGTCCCAGATGTTTTGAAGGACCTACTTGTCCGTTTCAAACTGAAGAAGCGTCAGCAGTCGGCTTTCAAGGAAGGGTTTGGTTTCCATCGGGTGGCTCACCCACTCACCGGAGCTGACACCGATGTTATCAAAGGCCTGGTCGTGCAGCATCCTGGGGATCGTTATCGCTGGCGCCACATGGTCGACAGCCCGATGGGGTCCGGAGAGAAGCTTATGGTCCACTACCCTGCACTGTGTGAAACTGAATGAACGGGAGTGAATGACTATGAAATGAAGTGGGTACAAATAGGAAACCCTAATTGGGTTGTACCCCCTATGGGATACCCCACTATAGCCTACAGAAACAAGTAAGCTATATGTTCTGACACACCCCCATAGGCAAAGTGGGGGAGAACAAGGGGTCACAAGACCAGTTAAGCAAAGCAAAGCAAAGCTCAGGGTGGATCACAAAGTCACCACGCATTCCGAGCACAAGTTCAAAGGCCAGAAGGCCAGTTTACATGCAAGATCATATATAGAGATATACAAGAATCAAGCAAGCAAGAGCAAGAGTATATATAGGCGAAGGTACAAGCAAGGTCAAGAGGAGAGCAAGTGAGGCAAGACAGCCACAAGACCCAACTGCGTGCAACAACGCTGATGATCACAAGGCGCAAGTGCCTTGGTGAACACATCAGCAGTGTTGGCCTCAGAGGCCACGTACGCAAGTCGTAGCTGTCCGCGCTGCTGTAGCTCACGAGCAAGAAAGTAGCGGAGAGCAATGTGCTTCGTTCTGTGCTCCAGTCGCTGCTCTCGACACAAGGCCAGCATGGCCTTGTTGTCTACGTACAGGACTGGAGGAGAACGAGGCTGCTCTCCAAGGTCAGTCAGCAGGTAGGTGAGCCAGCGTAACTCCTGTGCAGCCATAGCCCCAGCGTAGATCTCAGCCTCACAACTGGAGCCGAGAACAGAAGACGAGCGGGTAGCCCGCCACGAGACAGAGCCGGAACCTAGGCTGAAGGTGTAACCCTGTGACGACCGCTGCGTAGCCTGGTCGTCAGCCCAAGAAGCGTCTGCGTGCCCAGTGAGGACCACTGGACTGCGCCCTCCAAGCACTAGCCCCATGCCCGACGTACTGCACAAGTAGCGCAACACCCTCTTCGCTGCAGCCATGTGCTCTGGTCGGTGTCTCCCAGGAGCAACAAAGCGTGCGAGAATGCTAAGAGGGTATGCGAGGTCAGGTCGTGTGCAGGTCATCAGGTACATGAGGCAGCCAACAAGCTCTGCAAACGGGCCACTCGACTCTACGGACTCATCCGAAGGCAGAGCTGAGAGCGAGTGGCGAGTAGGCAGAGGAGTGGCCTGAGGCGAGGAGTACGTGAAGCCGAAGCGCTGAAGGACCTGCTGCACCATGTGTGACTGAGTCAGGGTAATGGTGCGGCGTGCTCTGTCCCGGGTGATCTGCAAGCCAAGGTAGCTGCGCAGTTCACCCAGGTCAGTGCACGTGTGTCTCTTCTGCAGCTCGGACTTCACGTAGGCGAGTCCAGCAGTGTCAGCTGTGGCAAAGACCAAGTCGTCGACGTACACGAGGATGTAGAACGGCGGCAGAGAGGTGTCGGTGCGAAGAAACAGCGACGGGTCGGCAGTAGAAGGAGCAAACCCAAGTGCCGCGAGCGTAGTCCTCAGTGTGTCGTGCCACTCACGTGGCGCCTGGCGGAGACCGTAGACTGGACGCCGGAGACTCCACTGGGTACCAGGAGGGAAAGACCCAGTGAAGCCAGGTGGGCGACGCAGCCAGATCTCCTCGTGCAGGCTGCCCTGCAAGAAAGCAGTGCTGAAGTCAAGAGAGTGCAGCTCGTAGTCACGGTGAGCAGCAACGTGCAGCAGAACCCGAAGAGTGGTCATCTTCGGGGTGGGGGAGAAGGTCTGAAAGTAGTCAACCCCCTGCCGCTGACTGAAGCCACGAGCCACGTAACGCGCCTTGAAGACAGGCGGAGAACCCGGCGGCCGCTTCACCCTGAAAATCCACATGCCACTGACGATGTTCGCCCCAGGAGGGGGAACAGCATCAACGTAGGTGCCTGTGGACTTCCAGGAAGCCATCTCTGCATCCATAGCTGCCTGCCACTGAGAGGAGTAGGGACCCTCTATCGCCTCCGCGTAAGAGCGCGGAGTCGGGATGTCTGGTGCATCCGGGTCTCCCTCAGGGGCTAGCAGTACAGACGCAAGACGAGGTGAAGCAGCGGCTAGACACTGGAACTCCTCCTGCCTGTCCTCAAGGACGTCCGTGCCAAGGGCACACTCACCCCCGACGGACGGAGGACAGGCGGACTCAGACTCAGTGACAAGACGAGCAGCGTAGTCTAGACGACAGCGCGCAGCAAAGTCGACAAGCTCAGTGACAAGGGCAGACGCAGCAGACGACTCGAAGGAAGGGTCAGTGACAGCAGTAGCAAGGAGACGCGTGACAGTAGGACTGGCAGCGCGAAGAGAGTCCGACTCAGGGTCGGCAAGAGCAGGAAGAGAGGAAGCAGGAGGAGAAGGCAAAGGGGCACGCAGAGGAGCAGTGGACGGACGCAGTGACATCCGGTGCGTGCCAGGGACAGGAGGAGGACGCTGACGTGAACCACGACCACTAGCGCGCTCAGTACAAACAGGCGACGCAGGACGAGACGCAGGCTCACGACGCTCAGTAAGACCTCCAGTCGGACCAGCGTAGGGAGAAGGAGCAGGCAAAGGGGAGGCAGGCTGTAGCTGTGGCTGTGACCGAACAGGCTGCGGACCCTCTAAGGGAGCAGGAGGAGGTGCAAGACCAAGAACCTGCTGCAGGAGCGGAACGAAGTACGGTCGGGGCCGCGCGGCGACACCAGAAACAGTAGGAACAGCAGCAGCAGCCCCGTCCGGAGCACCCACTCCAGCAGCACCTCCAGCAGAACCACCAGAAGCTCCAGAACCTCCAGCAGCAGCACCAGGAACACTGTCAGTCGGACCGCCAACCGCAGGCTCAGCGCCAACACCCTCAGCAGGACCAGCTCCAGGAGAACTCTCAGACCCAGCAGCTCCAGCACCCACAGTACGAGCACCGCCAGGACGCGTGGCAGCAGTACCCTCTGCAGCCGAAGAACCACCAGCACCAGCAGCACGCCTCCAGCGCCTGGCAAACCACTCACGCAGCTCCTGTGGGGGGAGTGGCTCTCGGCGAGACGAAGCACCCCCAGGCACAGCACCCCCAGGCTCAGCACCCCCAGGCTCAGCACCCCCAGGCACAGCACCCCCAGGCTCAGCACCCCCAGGCTCAGCACCCCCAGGCTCAGCACCCCCAGGCTCAGCACCCCCAGGCTCAGCACCCCCAAGCACAGCACCCCCAGGCTCGACACCTCCAGGCTCAGCACCCCCAGGCACAGTACCCCCAGGCTCAGCACCCCCAGACTCCGCACCCCCAGGCTCAGCTCCCGCAGCAGCACCAGAGTCACCAGTGACCTCGACAGGCTCGACCGCGTCTACCTGGGACACACCTGAAGGGGCAGGACCCTGAGGGGGGAGGGGGACTACCGGGGGGGGACCTGGTACCAAGAAGAGCGGGGGCGGGGGGAGGGACGGAGTGCGGTAGGGGAAGAGGCGGTAGTAGGGTACCGACTCGTCGAACGTGACGTCCTGGGAGGACAGAACACGTCGAGAGGTGGGGTGGTAAAACTGCCACCCAGGGGCGTCGGGGGGGAACCCCAGGAAGACGCAGGGAGAAGCACGAGGGGACAGCTTGTCCGCAGACAGGTCGCGAACAAACGCCCGAGATCCCCAGACCCGGAACGCCGACGCATCGCCAACCTTCCCCGTCCACAGCAGGGCTGGGGAGGTCTCTGGTCGAGAGACCCTGGGGTGGAGGTTGATCTGGTGCGCAGCGTACCGGACCGCAAACGGCCACAGAAAATGGGGAGCAGCCGCATGCATCATGGACGTACGAGCGACGTCCATGACCATGCCAATGCGGCGCTCAGCAATCCCATTCTGCTGTGGTGAGTCCGGAAGCGTGAAGGTCTGACGGATGCCTCGCACACGACAGTAGGCACTCAGGAGGCCAGAGGAGAACTCTCCGCCTCTATCCGAGTGCAGACGCAAAACAGGGAAGTCAGAGCCAAAGCTCCTCCGAAGCTGAAGACGAGCTGCGCGGATCCAATCGATCAACACCTCAGTGACCTCACCCTTGCTGCGCAAGGGGAAGACTGTGGTGTAACGCGAGTAGTCGTCAACCACCAGCAGGAAGTAGCGCTCCTGACCCTGTCCACGGACGCGGGCTGGGCCCCACACGTCCATGTGAAGCGTCTGCAACGGGGCCTCTGTCGGAGGAAACTGGGAGGAGTGAGGGGCAGCACGCTGGCGCCCCTCGACACAGGGGACACAGGCAGGGCCAGGGCCCGGAGGAAGGGGAGGGAGGGACCGGGGAAGACCAGACACAAGGACCCGCGAGGCCATGCCTCTGAGCCGAAGCAGAGAGGGGTGGCCAAGGCGGTGGTGCCAGAGGAGGGTCTCGTGAGACAGACGACGACACGAACAGGGGGCAGACTCAGGACTAGACCTGGACGCTGCAGCAAACACCTGACCAGACGAAGGGACTCTACCAGACGCAGCACCTGGAGGAGAAGCAGTGGTCAGTGTGTACAGGCTCGACCCTGGCCGACGTGTAAACGTAGCCAGGTGACGACCTGTATCCGCCTCCGTACAGTGGGTCACCCGCTGACGAGCAGGGGTGAACTGGTGGACACCTGCATCCTGGAGGTCAGCACCACTCACCAAGTTCGTCGAGAACGAGGGGAGGTAGAGACCAGTCAGGGTGCCAGAGGGGGCCGCTGGACACGGGAGGACAGTGGAGAAGCGAGACAGGACAGGTCCCCCAGAGGGGTCAGCCAGGGACACCGCAACCGGCCGACTCAGCGGCGTGAGAGTGGTGCGGTCCCTAAAGAAGGAGCGAGACGCTCCAGAGTCAAGGGTGAAGGTGTGAGAGGCCGAAGCCGACACAGTACCTGAGAGGGCGGACTCACCAGCACCTGAGAGCACAGACGCACTGGCACCTAGAGCTGCAGCCTCACTAGTACCTGACGCGGCAGTACCAATGCCCGGGTCGGGCGGGAAACACCGGTAACAGTCATCCTCATCACTACCAGTCACAGCATACATAGCAGAGAGAATAGCATCAAAGTCAAGATCATAAATAGCTACTCCAGCCCTAGACAGCTCTCCCCAGCGGGGGATCTCAGCGGCCTCCGGAAACTGCTGACGCCAGGCGTCGGTCAGGCGGCCAAAGCAGCGACGGGCTGTGTGGGCGCCTCCACACCTCTCCCCCGCACGGTCACCGGTGCGAAGAACGTAGGGGCAGGGACCAAGCGCACCACCGCGCTGACGCTGCAAGTACCACTCACGGAGCTGCTGAGGGCCGGGGACGGTGCGGGAGCGCTGCTGCTGCGGCGGCTGCTGCTGCGGCTGCTGCTGCTGCTGCTGCTGGCGCTGACCACCCCCAGAGCCGCTCCGCTGGGACGAGCCACTCCGACCCCCGCCTCCACTGCCACCCCCGCCTCCACCGCCACCCCCGTCTCCACCGCCACCTCCCCCACCAGGACCGTCGCTCCCACCGCTCCCACCGCCTCCTCCGCTACCACCTCCGCCGCCACCTCCGCCTCCACCGCCGCCACTAGTACCTCCACTCCCGCCACCACCCCCACCGCCACCCCCACTCCCCCCTCCACCCCCACCGCCTCCTCCACCGCCCCCTCTAGCTCCACCCGCCCCCTTGCCCCCCTTGCCCTTGCCAGAGCGGCGTCTGCCGCTGGGGGCAGACGCCGCGCCGACCGACTCAAAACCAGCGAGGTCGGCCGCAGCGGCAGAGGCGACAGAGGGCAGCAGGGGGGAAGGACCACACCCCTCAAAGATGGGGGTACGAGGGTCACCCCGAGAGGCCCCTACAGCGACAATACTCTTCTCAGCCGCTAGCAGGGACTCCTCAAGGAGGTCGACAGTGAGAGTGGTGGGACAGACAGAGAGAAACTGGTCCCTAACGACACGAAGGGACTCAGGGAGACGGGTGACGAGAAAGTAGAGAGTGATGTACATGGGAGGAGGGTTCGCAGCGCGGAACTCAGCAGGAAGGGCAGCACGGTAGCGGGTGTCACTAGCGCGGAGGTGGGTAACTAGGTCAGCAACAGTGGGAAAGGAAGCGAGGTCAGGGAAGAGAAACGGTAGCATGAGGCGGCTAAGGGTAGCGGAGGAAGGGGAGGAGTAGCGTGCAACTACAGCGTCGTACAAGGCCTGAGCGGTCTTGCACTGACTAAAGTGGGCACGCTCAGAGGAAGGGAGGTGGCGACGCACAGCAAGACGTGCAGCAGCATCGCGGGTCGCCCACTTGGAGCGAGCAGCAGAGTCAGCATCAGCAGGCGGGGCAGGGACAGCGCCAGAGACAAAGTCAAAGAGAGAGACCTCATCTATCGCATCACACAGTAAGTACAGCTGCAGGTCTTCAATCCAGACGGCAAAGTCAATGGCCCTCCCCTCAGCGTCAAAAGTAAGAACATTGGGGGTGGCCATGGCAGCAGCTGAAAGTCTCACCGGGCTAGGAGAGTCGGGTAGGACAGCAGCAGGCGGCTCGGGCTGGTGGGGCGGCTCGGGCGGCTCGGGCGGCTCGGGCGGCTCGGGTACCGGGCGGCTCGGCTGCTGCTGGGCGGCTCGGCTGCTGCTGGGCGGCTCGGCTGCTGCTGGGCGGCTCGGCTGCTGCTGAGCGGCTCGGCTGCTGCTGGGCGGTCCGGCTGCTGCTGGGCGGCTCGGCTGCAGTGTAGTGGCGGGGCCGGGACAAGGGACGGCGGGGCCGTCAGGGTGCAGCGGCGGGGCCGGGACAGGGGACGGCGGGGCCGTCAGGGTGCAGCGGCGGGGCCGGGACAGGGGACGGTGGGGCCGTCAGGGTGCAGCGGGCCAGCAGGTGAGGTGGCGAGCCGGTAGGTGAGGCGGCGGGGCCGTCAGGTCAGGTGGCGGGCCAGCAGGTGAGGCGGCGAGCCGTCAGGTGAGGCGGCGGGGCCGTCAGATCAGGTGGCGGGCCAGCGGGGGAGGCGGCGGGCCGTCAGTGAGGTGGCGGGCCAGCAGGTCAGGCGGCGGGCCGTCAGGTGAGGCGGCGGGGCCGTCAGGTCAGGTGGCGGGCCAGTAGGTGAGGCGGCGGGCCGTCAGGCGAGGCGGCGGGGCCGTCAGGTAAGGTGGCGGCGGGCCGTCAGGTGAGGCGGCGGGGCCGTCAGGTAAGGTGGCGGGCCAGCAGGTGAGACGGTGGGCCGTCAGGTGAGGCGGCAGGGCCGTCTGGTGAGGTGGCGGGCCAGAGGGCGAGGCGGCGGGCCGTCAGGTGAGGCGGCGGCCGTCAGGTAAGGCGGCGGCGGGGCCGACAGAGGTGCAGCGGGGGGGGCCTGCCGCAGCGTCGAAGAGGCCGTGCGGCCGTCTTGAGGGCGGCGCGGCGCGGCAGAGCCGAGAGGGCGGCGCGGCGCGGCTGTAAGGGCCGCGCGAAGTGGGGCCCAGGCCGCGCGCGCGAAAAAAAAAATGAGTCGCGCGCGCGACTCTCGGGGCGCCACAAGGGCAGCTCGACGCGCACTAGGGGGAGCGCGCCTCGAGGAGAATAGGGCGCGCTCCGGGCAGGAAAAAAAAAAGATCGTGGGTGGGCCCAAAAAAAACGGTCCTTAGAAGGGACCCGCTCTATACCATGTGAAACTGAATGAACGGGAGTGAATGACTATGAAATGAAGTGGGTACAAATAGGAAACCCTAATTGGGTTGTACCCCCTATGGGATACCCCACTATAGCCTACAGAAACAAGTAAGCTATATGTTCTGACACACTGTCCTGTCAGCTCTGCAATGGACAGCATTATGACATTTATCATGATCTGTTCATCACAGAGCGGCAGAACAATATAGGGAAGTGGAACCTTACCTTGGGGAAAGCTCATAGTATCAATGGTAACTGCATCAGCTTTCTTCATTACATCGCAGACTTACCTTTCTCATCTCTCACTGTCGATCTCTGTTGCGCTCGCAGCTGCTTCTCTGCGCACCTCCGCTCTTGTCACCCCCATACTGAAAGACCCATCCATCGCTCTTGTCTCGACCGGCAGCAACCGCGAAGAATGGATCTGCACGCAAGTGTGCTGCGGGAAGGCGAAGGGGAAAACTTTCTTGGCTGCGGCGGATCACATCATCTCTTCGACTCACCTGCTGAACCAGGAGAAGATGGGTACTGCCACAAAAGCCTCCTTGGACAAGGCTGCTCTTGCCGGTTTGAAGAAGGATTACAGCTTCTGAGGCTGCGGAAGGAGAACAGTGTACTGTTGGCGATAGTAGGGTGGAGTGCAGTAGTCAGTGTTGTCACCATCTTCGGCATGTGGATGAACAGGGGCCTCCAGGCAGTTATCAAATGAGTAACAAAAATTTCTTCTCCTTAGCAGGCCTTAACGTCAACGGCCTAGGTGACAAAACAAAGCAAGACAGAGTCTCAACCTGGATTAGAACAGCAGCTAACATCATCATTCTCACAGACACAAGACTTCCGGATAACCACACTTACTGGAAAACTCCATCCTTCACCACAGTCCTCATAACGCCACCCACTGATAAGGCCGGCGGCGTTGCCGTTCTTACCAGGGATCCCTCCGTCCTTCTCACGAACACCAGCACACACCCATCAGGGAGACTGATAGTAACTACCGCTAGCCGCTTCGGCTTCACTCTTACCCTCATTGCTGTTTACTTCCCCGTAGATGCCACTGACAGATGCTCTTTTTTGAAGAACGTTGTCGGCCCGGCTTTTGACCAGATCCCCACCACTGACCACGTAGTTCTCCTGGGAGACCTGAACATGGTAGAAGACCCAGTTTTAGATCGGACGTCACAATCAGGCACTTCCTTAGAAAATGACAGGCTTATTTCACGTTGCAACCGCTTTCAACTCTCAGACGCTTTCCGCACGCTTCACCCTAAGCTCAGAGAGTACACCTTTTACGCTGCATCCAAGCAATCCAGCTCTCGCATTGACCGCGCGCTAGTTTCTTGCTCGCTGCTCCCGCATCTTGATATAGCTGCACACATACGGCCGGAGGAGTACATCTCAGATCATGGATTCGGGATCAAAATCGCCTTAAAAATAAAAGCATCTTCTCACCTGGGTCCTGGCATCTGGAGACTGCATGCAGCAGCCCTGGGCAGGCCTGGAATTCGGAAAGCGGTAGAGGCTGCCTTGGCGAAAGCGGCTGAGGATGGAGATGGTAATTTCGAGTTACTACTTGGGAGGCTCAATGCTGGTTTACGCGCGTACATGAAGGAGGAGAACAAAAGAGTAAAGAAAACAACGGCTCATCTGGCGGAGGTAGTGGCGGAGCTACATCAGGAGCAGATGCGCAACCCGAGCTGTCAAAAGACGAGAGATCTGTTTCACGTCAGGGACGCGCAGCTGAGAGAGTACCATGCATCAAAACGGGACAGACTTCACGTGATGACAGGGACGGATGCGGAGTTAGCTGGGGAGGTCCCTTCGCCTTTTCTATCGGCGAGAGTCAAGGTCAGGAAGCAAAAGACACAGATTGCAGAGCTGGAGGTGGGAGGCGTCAAGATTTCTGACTCACCCGGGATCCTGACGGCCGCGACGCAGTATTTCACGGACCTTTTCGGCACTGACGGTCGGACATCAACAGAGCGGTGGAAACCGCTTGCTGGGAGAAAGTTGGATGCAGAGTCGGCGGCTGGGCTTGCAGCAGATTGGACAGAAGCGGAGGTTAAACAGGCCTTCAAAGCGCTTGCGGACGGCAAATCACCCGGGAAGGATGGGCTCCCGAAAGAGCTGTTTGAAAGACACTGGGATGTCCTCGACAAGGAGTTCCTCCGCATGGCGCAATCCTTCTCGGTTTCAGCAACCATTCCTGCAAGCATCAAAGAAGCGATTACTATTCTGCTCCATAAAAAGGGAGAGAAGGACAATCTGGACAACTATCGTCCGATCACACTTCTGAACTTCACGTACAAGGTGCTGGCGCGGGTGGTGGCGAACCGGATGAAGATGCACCTGCACAAGGTGATCTCGGCGGAGCAGTACGGCTTTATTCCCGGCAGGAGAATCTCGGAGGCCATCGGTGTGGTTGCTGATGTTATTGAGGCGGCGAAAAAGGGGAATGAAGACTGGTACATGCTGCTGGTAGATTTCCGCAAGGCCTTCGACTCGGTGTCTAGAAGCTTCCTTTTCAGCACCCTCAAGGAAATGGGCTTCCCGGAGAGATTCGTCGGCTGGGTGGAAGGTCTGCACAAAGACACAAGAACAAGGTTGTTAATCAACGGTTGGCTGGGGGAAGCAGTGGATGTTAAGTCGGGGGTGAGACAGGGCTGCCCACTCGCTCCGTACCTGTTTCTCTGCGCGGTGGAACCGCTGGCGCAAGAGGCAGAGCGTCGGAAGATTGGTCTCTGCAACAAGGCAAACCAACGGTTAGCGTATGTCGGTTACGCGGACGACACGACACTCTTTTTGGATGGGAAAAGACAAATCGCCAGGGCTGAGAAGCTGTTAGCCTGGTTTGCTGGACTGTCAGGGCTGCAGACGAACAAGGGCAAATCGGTGATCCTCCCGATCGGCCACAACATTGGGAGGAGACCAGGGACGCTGGGTGGCTTTAAATGGGCCAAGGCGGACGAAGCGGAGAGAGTCCTGGGAGTCTGGGTCACCCCCTCTGGAAGCAGTGAGCCGGCCTGGAAGCGGGCTTTTGAAAAAATAATAGTGGAGTTGATTAAGTGGAAAGCGCTCTTCCTCACGATTGCGGCGAGGGTTGTGATTATCAACTGCTACATCACACCGAGAATAGCATACCAGGCGCAGGTCTATCCCCCGTCAGAGGAGATCTGGAAGAAGCTCGTTAAGCTGATTCACAATTTCTTAACGGGGAACAATGCATCGGCTGAGAAAGGGTTTGTGCTGTGGAACTGAGGGCTGCTTACCACGCCGAAAGCCGACGGAGGTCTCGGAGTTCTAGACCCAGGAGTGCTTCTCGCCTGCCTTGCCGCGAGAAGGATTGGCTGCTTGCTGCTGGAGAAGAACCGGAAAAAAAAGGAAATCATGCTCAAGGCGGCGGGATTACCGCTCGGAGAGGACACGTTCCTGGCTCATGAACGGTTGCTGAAGCACTGGCCGGGAGAAAACGAGCGCTGGTTACAGACATGCGAGACTTTCATGAAATCCCCGATGGCGGACACTGGGAAGTCAGACAGCAAAGAGGAGGTGGCGCAAGAAAGGGTGGTTTTTAACCGGAAGCTGCTTCTGAACGGCACGAACCCAGTGGGTGGACAAAAGGAGGCTAAGGGCCTCTGGGGGACGAGGCTGGGTGACCTGGTAACCACGCGTCAGGACGGTACGGTGGAGATTAAGGACATGGATACGCTTGAGCGGGAGCTGCGTAGCAGGGACTCAGCCCGGCTGGCTCTCAAGGCACTTGATGCAGCCCCGCAGGAATGGAAGGAAGTGCTCATCCCGGATGCCAGTGGAGAGGGGGCTGGATCTGGGGTGCAAAACTCGTCTGGGAACAGCGGCGGTGGCGAACATGCAGCGGCTACAATTTTTCGTTCGGGGATTTTCACGAACGGGCAGCTGTCATCCCTGAAGCAGCTGAGGGAATCGTGGGTTGTGCCAGACGCGGTCTCCACGAAGCAGGAGAAGTGGATCGGCAAGTGGAGCGGCAAGATAGACTGGGACCGAATCATCCACACCAGAAACTCGCTTGCCATCCCGAACCGACCGCGTGATGTCCTTACGCGTATACACAACCACAACCTTCAGGTTGGGGAGAGGGTGGATTTTCTCAGCAGTAAGCCGAAGTGCCCGTACTGTGGAGAAGTTGAGACACAGGATCACTGCCTTTTTAGCTGCCCGGTGATTCAGCCTGTGGTTTCTGGTCTCCGGCGCGCTCTGCGCATGCTCAACCCCACAAGGACATCTGCCTCGCTCGGTGATCTACTGTTCCAGGAAACTGGTACCACGTCAGACTTCCCAGAGGCTACACTAACGGCCATCACCTTCCACCAGTTGTGGGTGGAACGCTGCGAGGCGAGCTTCCGTGGGCAAAAATTCAGAGCCCGGCGGGTGCTCAGGAGAATCGGGACGGCTTTCCGGCTGCACGCAAGGGTGTACACGAGAGTGACTGGGGCGAAAGTTGTGAGGCCGGGCAAGCTGGGGAAACTCAAAAAGGTTAGGGGGGTTTTTGAAGCAGAACAAAAGATGCTGATGAGGATCAGGAAGGTCGGAGACAGGAAGTGGAGCTGGTCGGACAGCTTTGCGGCCATCTGGAACAGACCTAAGAGGGCTCTCCAACCGCCCTAGTTGTCTCGCTGGGCAGCGCAAGGTGCCTGCCCTCACGCTCAGTTACGACTGCTATTGCTGTATGCATTGTCCTCTTTAATGTATACTCCAATTCCAAAAAAAACAAAACAAAAAAACCTTCTTATAACTAAGTAACATGTGCATGTGCATAGTGCACCTGCCACAGTTTAGGCCAAGCTACGAAGTTGTCAGAAATACTCTCCTGAGGTGCCACGTACTCGTGCTCCTATCCGTTTTTCTGAAGGATCGTGCTCAATGAGTCCATTGGACACACCGTCTCAACCAACCGAATCAACCTTATCCCGCAATTCCAGTGGAGTTGCGGAGCCACCAGATGGCTCCACGTGGCTGTCCGTCGTCGCGCGCCACGCCGGAGAGCTGCAGTCCATCCAGCACCAGCTGCAGGTGCGCCGCGTTATAATCACTTTCAAGCATCGCACTATGTCGCCTCTCGCCTTCCGTTCTGCCGCTCAGGAGGATATTAGCTGGTTTCGCAAAATCTCTGCTCGCATCGTTCGTAGCCAGAATGCCGTTATGCAAGCAACTCTGTCCACCTATATCGGTCCCTTGTCCTTGGCTCGTTGCAGCGGACCGATGTGGCGCGTGACCTGCACGTGCTGCGGGTGAATCAGATGGATGCGCTGCGATTGGACGACGAGATGCGGCTGATGCTCAAGGAGCAGCTCATGCGGGTCTTCACTCTCGTGCCGGTACTTCAGCTCTTTTTCCCTGCTCGCCCTCCCTCCTTTCCTCTCCTTCCATCCCTTCTCCCCACCTCCCCCCTCCCACTGCCCCCACCCCACCGCCCCTCACTCCTAGTGCATTCTTCTTTCACCCCATATTCCAAGTATGCACCCCCTCCCACCCCCTTCCCCTCAACGCGCCTCCCCCTCTCCCCTCACGCCCCGTGTCTCCCCGGTCCCCTCGCTTCCCCCTGCCCCTCCGTTCTGGCCTGCCCTCTTACCCCTCCCCGCTGCCCTGATCCCTACCCCATCCCCCTGGCCTGCCGCCTACCCCCACCCCGGCCCGTCCGCCCATGCATGGCAGGCGGCGTGGGTGGCGAGGTGTGAGGCGGAGGTGGAGCTGCTGCTGGACGTGCTCGTGTGGCGCTTCTCCGTCTGGGCCGACCGCCCCCTGCCCGGCTGCGCTCTCATGAATCTCCGCTTCAGGGACGAGCGCACAGCACGCGCGGGGGCAGGGGCGGCTGCACCGCCTGCTGTACCAGGTGGGCTGATCTGTCCCACGCGGGTGGGAATGGGAGTGGCGCCTTGCCCTGTGTGGGCGGAATGACGTTGGTGTGTCTTGGGCTTCTTCTTGCCTTGCTTTGACGTGTTACTTCTGGACATGCACTTTTCCCTTACTTATCCTCCCTGACTTTCTCCCACCTTCCCCACTCCCTCCCACGCTCCCCACTCCCCCCCACTCTCCTCACTTTCTTTCCACTCAACCCCTCCCTCTCCCACCACCCCCACCATCCCCCACTCTTCTTCCCCTCCGGCCGTCCCTCTCCCCCGTCCCCCACCTGTCTCTCTACATGCCTCTTGTGGATCTCGGTCTCTCCCCACCCCCTTGCGTGGCCACGTGGCAGTGCGGACGGGGGTGGAGGGGCCGGGGCTGACGGTGGGGCAGAAGGTGCTATGGCTGGTGCTCACAGGGGGAGTAAAGTACGTGTGGGCGCGCCTGCACTCCACGCGCTGGCTGCTGCCCGTGCACGCACACATGCCGCCCAACGCCTATGGGAGGCACGGGTCAGGGAGCGAGGCGCTTCAACGACAGCAGGTCTGATTCAGTCCCTTCCCTTCTACCATTTGTTGTCCCACTGCTTGCTTGGATTTATCTACTGTGGCCAAAAGTAGTCCCCTGGTTCCCGGATTCCCCTTCCCCTGATTACGTCGGTCCTCCCTTGCCACGTGTGCGTGCAGGCATCCTGGCGCCACTGGCTGTGGCGGTTCCTACACCGGGCAGAGGGTGCAGTGAAATTGGCGTCACTGCTCAACCTCATTGTGTTTCTTCACTCCGCCAAGTGATTCCCCTGCCTCATTCTCCTCTCCCTCAACTGCCTTAGTTCCATCGGCCTTCGGTCAGCACCTTGCGTATCTCTGCTTCCGCAGTTCACTTCTTCTGCTTTGCATTCTCCCACACATGTGCGTGCCTTCCCACTATACATCACTTGCCTGTCCCCCTCTATGTCTGTCTTTTTTGTCTGCCCCTCACTCTCCGTCTGCCTGCATGTGCCCCGGCAGGTTCCGCACGCTACCGGAGAGGCTGCTGGGGATAAGGGCGGTGTACGCCAAGCCACACATGGCGCGCGCTGTCAGCTTTGAGTACATGAACCGCCAGCTCGTGTGGAATGAGTTCTCGGTCAGTCACCCTTACGTCACATCCCTCCCTCCCCTTCCACCCACACGGCCTGCTTATCCTCTCTTCTCTCGGAGTTATCTCGTGCTCGATAGATTCTGTATGATCTCTGCCGGCCACTGATGATTCTCTGCCATTTGTGCCGTCTGTTTTCGCAGGAGTTGCTGCTGCTGGTGCTTCCCCTGATCAGCGTGTCGGCAATCAAGCAAACCTTTTCCTCCCTTTTCCGCCTCCCGTCGTCATCGTCCCCTACCGCTGGCGATGGGTGCCCTGTATGCTCTGCACAGCCCATCCTTATGCCATATCGTGCGCAACCATGTGCCCACGTGTTTTGCTATTACTGTATTCACACACGCATGTCTATTCATCGTGCCTTCCGTTGCCCAGGCTGCAACACCCGTGTGGATAGTATAGAGAAGATTGATTTGCAAGTATCGCAAGATGCCCAGCAACCTTCGGATTCAAATGCTAGATGAATTCTATGTTGTGCATAAAGGAAGATTTGACTTGAGATTTCTTTGTATATAATCATAAACGGCATGTAGCGTGTTATCAATTCTTGTAGAACAGCCGTGTGGAACAACTATCTCACTGAAAGAACGAAAATATCCCCGTAAAGTGCGAATTGCCACGTCAGCCATTCCTCCACTGCATGTGTTCCCCCTCCCCAAGATCCCGCCTCCCATGTTCAGCATCCATCCAGCCGCCATTTCCCTCATCGCCTGTGTATACCTCCTCTCCCCTACCCCAAAAATATTCTCCTAAGGGCTCCTCATCACGATCTCGATCTTTCTGAACAGCTTTCGCGGACGAACCCACGCGCCAGTGCTCGCGACTTTCGCGTTTCTGCGACTCCCCCCTCCTAGGCTCTGCCTTCCGCTGAAGACCGTTCCGCGCCTGGTAACTTCCGGAGCCCGCACTGGCCTGCCATGGGGCACGCACCATCGCCCGCGATTCACGCTCTCACGGCGTCGCGTGTTGGTATAGGGCAAGGGGAGCTGACGTGGCGACAAGCCTCTCGTGACTCGCAGCACCAGCGTGAAATGCGGCTTGCCACCTCATCTCGCCACATCACTAAAGTGCGTGTATTACTGTCACAGCCCTCCGTTCATTCTCGCAGTTCTTGCATGTCAATCCACGTCATCCTATACCTGCGCCAATGTTTCCGCGTGGCCTCCGCCAGGCGCCTCCCCGTCCTCCTACAGCGCGCACATTCTCCGCCCTGCGGAAACTGTTCCGCTCCACGCGGGTGCGCGCGGGCGGCATGGAGGGGCGATGGGCAGGCGGACAGGCGGAAGAGCGTCGCATGCCATGCAGCGGAGAGCGGTGACGTGGTGCCTGCTGATTGGGTGGACACGGCAGGGACGCACAAGCGGCCCCGACAAGTTTTTTACGCCAAGAAGGTGCGCCGCGGGCCTTTTAACGGGGATAACGCAGGAGGTGAGTGGGATGCGGAGGGAGGAGGTGGTGGGATGGTGAGGGTGAGCAGTGAGGCGAGGTGAACGGGGTGAAGAGGTAAGGCGGACGTATAAGTGCAGTGCATGCAGGGCCGCACCGGCCCGTTTGCGCCTTCCTCGCCCGTGGATTGGATGCACCAGTGCTTGCTTCTGAGCCAATGTTGTCAACCAAACGATGTTGTGTGCCAGTGCTGCTTGCCTCCCTCTCGCTTCTATGTTGACCAAACACCATGTTCTGCTGCCGCCTGCTATGCATTGCCTTCTCGGGCCGTGTGATGGTGCATGCCACGTGGTATGGCATGGCATGGCGTGGCACGGCATGGGTTGGCATGGCATGACGTGGCACGGCATGGATTGGCATGGCATGATGTGACATGCAGGGTGAGAAGTTTTGTTTCAAGCGGGCGAGCGGATGGAGCTGCTGGAGTTACCCGAGGGTACAAGAGTGGTGTACCCTGGGCTGTGCAAGGACGGCGAATCCAACCCCAACAAGGCCAGTATCACCCCCCACACACACACTGCACTGCACTCCCTCCCTTTCGTTCACCCACTCACACACAGCATACATTGTGCACCCATCCCTCACAGTCCTTCCCCAATGCACTTGCCCGGCCCACGTTCCATGTCCGGATGGGCCTCTATCCACCTGCCACACGTCAAATTCTCTCGTGTCACTTCCAGCCACGTGCTTGCTTCCCGCCCATCCTGCCTCTTCCTTCGCCGCCCATTCTCTCTTCTCCTTTCTTACACTTCCAACTCCTCGCCCTCCCCCCCTCTTCCCCATTCTCTCTCCGTGCCACGCACACACGTGCATGCACGGCCATGTGTAAATGCTGGACACACTGGACTGGGCACACAACAGATGCGAGCCATGGTACGGCATGCGCTGGATAATCCTGTGGGGCAGCCGCCGCTCAAAGAGCGACTGCAGCAGATCAAACAGGCTAACCCCAACCCCAAGGTGCGCTGCTGCTCTTGCTGCGCTGTTACTATTGCAACCGCCTCTCTCTTTCCCACTCCTTTTTCTGGCTGACCGGTATAAACAGTGCCGTTTCTACGTTGTGTCATTCATTGTGTGATGTGCCCGTCCGCTCCTATTACAATCATTAACCTGTTCTCCCTTCTCCATCTCCCTCGCCCCTCGCCCTCGCCCCTCGCCCTTTTGAGCTCTTCCTTCAGATCTAAATCATCCCACTCCTTCCCTGCTCTCGCGCTCTTGCCACGCATGCACCACGCCACGTCTCAATCGTCCCCCACCCACCCCCCTTCCTCCCTCTCTCCCAAATCAACCCCACATCTACCCCCTCAAAAAACAGATCCTGATAGCGTTTGACGACGTGAGCGTGCCGCTGCCGCCCATGCGCCGCCCGGACGTGCGACAGCTGATCATGGAAGAGGCAGAGCGCGACTGCGTGGCAGCGGGCATCACGGATATCCGCTTCGTGTGCTCCATCGCTCCATCGCTCTGCACCGCTACATCCGCACCGACGAGTTCAGGCACATCTGCGGAGGGTACCTGTATGGAAAGTACTACCCGCAGCGCATGGGGAATTACAATGCGGTTGATATGGACGAGACTGTGGATATTGGTGTCACGCGCCACGGGGAGGCCGTGCAGGTGAGGGGAGAGGGGGGAAGGGGGGGAATGGGGGGGATGGGGTTGGGGGGAATGGGGGGGATGGGGTTGGGGGGGATGGGGTGGGGGAAGTGGGAGAGCATGGGGAACTACAATGCGGTTGATATAGACGAGACTGTGGATATTGGTGTTACGCGCCACGGGGAGGCTGTTCAGGTGAGGGAAGGAGTAGGAGGGGAGGTGGGAGAGGTGGAGTAGGGGTGCTGAGGGGTAAGGGGTTTGAGTTTTTGTTACTGCAGCGGTTTCTACATCGTTTTTATGATTGGTATGCTCTGCTGTGGCCCATGCTCTTCTCCTCAGCCCCACCCCTGTTGCGTGCTGTGGCACGGCATGGCATGGCACGGCAGATCAACCGGCACTATGCGGAGGCGGATCTGGTGGTGTACGCGAATGTGAACTACGTGAGCATGGACGGCGGGTACAAGTCATATGCCACTGGCCTGGTGAGAGCTCTTGCTGCGCTGCTGCGCTCACAGCTGGGCTGCTGAGATGGGCGCTGGAGAGACAGGGCGAGTGGGAGGTGGAGGGAGGAGAGGGAGAGTGGGAGAGGGGGAGGGCAGTGAAGGGTGTGGTAGGAAGGGGTGCTGTGGGTTGGCGGATGCGCCTTGCCACAGATGCGCCTTGCCACAGATGCGCCCGTGATGGTGACATTGTGCATTGGTGTATGCGCTGCGCTGCGTCGCTTGTTTGTGCGTGTGGATGGTCACGTGGTTTCCTTGCTCTCGTATGTGTATGTGTGCATGTGCATGTGCTATTAACTGTGCATGCGTGCATGTGCATGTGCTATTAACTGTGCATGCGTGCATGTGCATGTGCATGCATGCAGGTGCATTACAACAGTCTGCAGCACAACCATGACTCCAAGACACTGCGCAACACCAGGCATGCCGTGAGCTGAGCGGGGGGCAAGGGACCTCATTTGAGTTTACACCGCTCAACATCCACACCCATGAACCCCTCAACGTACATCAAACCTGAAACAAGTGCAATTCGTGCCTCACGGACCATTAGGGAAGATCAGCATTGTTGCTCCAGTTTTACCCTATTGCTTTCCCGTGCCTTGAGGCTCTCCTGCCGCATATAGCACCCCAGGTGCCCCCGGCTCGCATGCTGCTGCTGCTGACCTGCTGTGTGCTGTGTGCAGGTCGCTGTTTGACCCGACGCGGAGTGCGCTGCACAAGTCGTTCCACCGCATTGGGCGCATGATGCAGAAGCACACCGATGTCTTCCATGTTGAAACTGTGATCGATGACCAGGTGTGTCTCTCCTCATCTCATCTGATGAGACGATTTTTTAGTCGACTCCAAAATCATGCCAGCACGGCCGCATGCCCTCTTGAGCTTGTAATCACTGCCCTGGTATGTGCTCCTCCTGCCTGCACCATGCACAATATCCCATGCACCACTCCTTCCTGCGAGTACGTCTGCCCTTTCAGAGTCTCCCACCCCCTTCTGCCCCTTTCCACACCTCAGTCCCCCTCCCCACTCCCACCCTCCCTCCCTGGCCAGCTGCTCCCCTTCTACGCAAGCTTTGCGCCGGGCGGGCAGGTCTGCCCCGACACCCCTCAGCCTGTCTACCTGACACCCCTCCCACTCCCCCTATGCCTCTTTTCCCTCCCCCGTGCAGCTGTTTCCCTTGTACGCGGGCTTTGTGCCCGAGCTAGTGCGCAATATGAACATTATCGAGTCGACTGAAGAGTCTTTCCAATCCCACCGTGCCTCTTCCACCCCCCTCCTGCAGCTCTTCCCATTCTACGCGGACTTTGTACCCGAGCTAGTGAGCAACATGAACCAAAATTTGAGTTGACAACCCCCCCCCTTCCCCATTCCCCCACTCCCACCCTCCCTCTTCCCCCTTCTCCCCCCCCCCCCCCCCCCCAGCTCTTCCCCTTCTACGCGGACTTTGTGCCCGAGCTAGTGCGCAACATGAACCCGCTGCAGAAGCTCCTCATGCACTCCACGCTCATTCTCTTCAAGGTGCGCGCGGGGGAGGGGTAGGGATGTGTGGCCAGGGCCGAGGATGCAGACACGGGTCAGCATGGGTCAGCACGGTGAGCACGGTGAGCACGGTGAGCACGGTGAGCACGGTGAGCACGGTGAGCACGGTGAGCACGGTGAGCACGGTGAGCACGGTGAGCACGGTGAGCACGGTGAGCACGGTGAGCACGGTGAGCACGGTGAGCACGGTGAGCAAGGTGAGCAAGGTGAGCAAGGTGGCAAATTAAACAAAGTGAGCAAGGTGAGCAAGGTGAGCAAGGTGAGCAAGGTGGCAAATTAAACAAAGTGAGCAAGGTGAGCAAGGTGAGCAAGGTGAGCAAGGTGGCAAATTAAACAAAGTGAGCAAGGTGAGCAAGGTGAGCCAGGTGAGCAAGGTGAGCCAGGTGAGCAAGGTGAGCAAGGTGAGCAAGGTGAGCAAGGTGAGCAAGGTGAGCAAATTAAACTAAGTGAACAAGGTGAGCAAGGTGAGCAAGGTGAGAGACAGCTCACTTCTCCCTAGCCTGAGTCCCTTCTTGTTGCTTACTTTGTGTTCTTGTCTCCTCACCCACTGCCCCTTCCTCCCGTCCTCCGTCTCTCGCTCTCTCTCTCTCTCCCGCTGTTCACCAGCTGCTGCCGCTGTGGCTGTGTGTGAAGGTCCTCTGGTTCATGCGAGGGCCCTTTGGCCTGCTGCAGGTACGCCAGGTGGACAAGGCCAGCTATGCTGGTACTGGTTATTTTTAGAATCTAGAAAACTATTCCGTTTGAAGCAGCAGTGGTTGACCTCACACACTCCTTGTCTTGAAATGTGGCTTCCATTGTGCAAAGCGTTTGAATTATTTCGCTGGCGAGCAGTGGGGGGGTGGTGGCGAGCCCAATGCTGCTCTGCGACGCCTATGCTGATTTGTGCAGTGCGGTGCGGTGCGGTGTGGTGCATTGATGTGCAGGTGACAGCAGGGGAGACCCAGGCGGTGCATGAGAGGACACTGGCAGCCATCTACCGCGACAAGGTCATGGACATTGATGGCCAGGTGAGGTCAGAGCACATGCGCTATCATGAACCTTGCTTCGTTTCCTCTCAACCAAGTTACTCCTCTCCCCTTTCCCCTTGCCCCTTCCCCCTTTCCCCTTGCCCCTTCCCCATCACCTTCGCTTGACCCTGTCATATTCCCACCACTGTAGCTACCCTGGACTGGACTGGACGCATCCCACGCATGTCCCACATATCCCAACCCCACCCATCCCCTGTTGCCCGCAGGCGGACATTCTCATCCTGGCGCCCAGTGCGCTGGGGCCCTACACCAAGGACATGTACCTCAACCCCCTGCTCGTGCGTATGCCGCTCCCTCCCGCTCTGCACTGCACTGTACTGCACTGCACTGCTCCGCACCACACTCTCATTACTAAACTAAAACGCCCCGCGCTGTGCTATGCTGTTCTGATGCGCTCTGCTTTGCGATGGTCCCTCTCATAGGATGAAAGGTACTGTGGATGGATGGGAAACTGCACTTGCTCCCCCTGCCATGCGCTCGTGTGTGATGTTGAGGCAAAACCATTGGCCACTTGTTTCCCCTGCCATGTGTTGCTAGCTACCTATGAGCATGCTGTGTGCTGCACCCATCATCATTCCTCCCCAGGCATGCTCTTCTCAGCCCTTCCACACTAACTGTCCCCCGTGCCGCATGGGTGCATGCAGGTGAACACATACGCACTGGGCTACTATTATAACATGTGAGTCGCCTCTGCTCACACCTTTCCTCAACTGGACTGCATGCCCCTATGCCTGTTCACAGGTATTGCGTGTGATGCTACTTCACACAAACTCAATGCTGGCTGTCTCACAGAAATCCCTCCATTTTTGCTTTTCGCCCTTCCTTCCCTCTCGATCTCGTCACCCCCTTTCCCTCCCCCATTCCCCCAGGTATGTGGATGGGGTGCCTCTACTCAAGGAGGGCGGCTGTGTGGTGAAAGACCATGCCATATGTCGCGTTATTAACACTTAGCCGGCAACTAAGTGTGAATTTCGCAGCAGCCAAGGTGAGGGTGTACTATAGTTTACTGCTTTTCGCATTTTTACTTTGTGTGCTTGCTTTGGAAGGTTACTGTACTATACAGAGTCGAGCTGCTGAGGATTTCGAGGAGGTTGATGAGGAGGTTGGTGGCGAATTCGATTCCAGCCAGCATGGGAATTCAATTCGCCATTCACCAGGCTGGAAGGCGGTGCATGCCTAGTGGGCCCAGTGGGACCCAGCTAGCACCTTGAAGCCTACGCGATCAGCTCAGCTGACTCGCGCTTAGGGGTAGAGGTAGCTTGCGGGACAAGGCAACTAGGCAGGAGGGGATGTAGACTGGGGTAGCGCTCAGACTCGTTGCTTTTTGCTTGTATGTTTCTCGTTTACTGCAATTTGCTTTCCTAATCCGAAGGGAACTAGCAGTAGGAGAAGCTAACAGCAATCTGACTGAGCCCTTGCGAGGGAGTTTAGACTTGTTGCATACAAGCAAAAAGGCTGCTTACGACTGTCTAGAGTACAGGGGACAGGCTTGATCGCCTGGAGTAGAGCACGGTGATGCGCCGTGAGGCATGAGTGAATTCGATCAGGAGCTTCATACTCATCAACTGCGCTCGGGTCACCGATTCCCTGCGAGGATGATGGAGGGACGTGATCCGCCAATTAGGACGCCTGGATTTCGCGCGGGAGAGGGAGATAACAACGTACGTGGTAATCAAGGATCGGATCGGGAGAAGGAAGGGAGTGGATGGAGAGAACCACCACTCAGCTCAGCTTGTGATTCACCGGCAGGCGGAAGCGGAATTCGCCCTGTAGGGACTGGACCTAGACGAGGACCTCCTGATCTGGGAGGGGAAGATAATTACGAAGAACGGCGAAGTCAGAAAGGAGGAGACGATCACCATGAAGAACGACGAAGCTTGCGAGAAGGAGACGACCAGCAAGAAGAGCGGCGAAGTCAGAGAGGAGGAGAACAGTATCATGGATTCTCAGCGGGTGTGTACGAAGCCATGGAGGCTGGAAGAGGAGGCCGGCCTGCTGGGAGTGGAGAAAGAGGGACGACAAGCTGGGGAACTGGCAGATCGATGAACGCTGCACCACCGAAAATCGAGGTGCCAGATCGCTTCTCGGGGACGCCGGGAGAAGAGCCTACGCTAAAGAACTACCTCATGATGATAGACGACATCCGCTACTGCTGGGATAGGGAAGGGCTGGATCCCATCGAATTTTTCAGAGGTTTGGGAAGGACTCTTAAGGGAGAAGCGCTGACGCATTACCGTGTGGAGAGACAGGGGCTGCTGATGCAGAATAAGAGAGGGGACTTCCCAGCTGCGATGATCACGGACCGGTTTTTGGAAAGTCTGCAAGAACAATTCCCGGGGCATTCGGCAGACAGGATGGCAGAATTTCAGAACTTCATTCGAGCCACTCCAGAGTCGCTGCTGGCCTATTACAACAGGCTGCTGGAGCTGGCGGAGGACATGGGCTGCATGGAAGAACGTATCTTGGTGACTAAGTTTGTCAACGGGCTGGATAAAGACTTGATAAGTGACATGAGGAGCCGGCTCTACTCCCTGGGAGTACGAGCCACGCTGCGGCAGGTATACCAGGTGGCGAAAGAAGTGGAAGAAGGGAAGCGGTTTTATGATGGCATGCAGGGGTCGAGTTCCAGTCGGCCGAACGAGCGAAGAAGGGCAGCTTGGGCAGCAGTGGAGGGCAGAAGGGGAGAGGAGGAGCGAAGAGACAGGCCGACAGAAGATACAAGGCGCTGTCATAAATGTGGAGAGCAGGGGCACCTGCGTAGGGATTGTGCTGTGGGGATAACATGCGACACCTGCGGAGCAAAAGGGCATTTCAGAAGAGATTGCCCCAAGGCGCCAATATGTTCCGGCTGCGGGAAGAGGGGACATACGGAAGCTAGATGTTACAGTAAGGGAGAGCGGACGAAAGGGAAATCAGCAAGGGAATTACAGCTGGAACGGGAGCTGGCTAAACTGAAAGCTCAAATGGAGAAGGCAGAGATTAGCGAAGATCCGAAGAAGGCGCTGCTGGCTTGGGAGGATGATGAAGGAGAGGGGTCTGATGAGGGAGAGCCTGAGTATGGGACGATGGCTATACCACCAAGGGAAAGAAGGGATCTGGGACTGCGCAGTAAAGGAGTAGACGGCAGGGCAGAGCAGAAACAACAGGAGAAGAGAATTAGCAGGCAGCCGGAAGGGAGTGGAAGCTCAAGGACAGCGTGTCGTCATCCTGAAGAACGGCTCGTTTGCCAGCCTACAGCCTTAGTAGTGGAACCCAAAGCGGTAGCCGTACGGGGAATACTGGTGGAAAACGCAGTAGTGGATATGGGGGCACAAAGCGTGCTGATCGGAAAGAAGCTGACAGAGCAGCTGCGGGCCCAGGGAGAGTTGGAGATCGTGAGCAAAGGCATACTGATCATGACAGCCGACGGCGGGGCCCCCAAATGGATGCCCTGCACGCGAGAACCGATCGAGATCACTCTACGGCCCGGGGAGAAAGGAGAGACGAAGATTAGAGTGCAATGTGGGCTGACTGAATCAGAAGACTACGACATATTACTTGGAATGGAGCTGCTGTTTAAGATAGGTACCATGATTTGTACTTGGGAAGAACAGGTGCTCTACCGCCCAGACTTTCCGGAAGAAGGGAAGGAGTTGAGTGAGTTGCCGGTACGATTCGTTAAGACAGAACCGAAGAAAGCCTGGAGGGCAGAAGGAGGGAGGAAGGAGAGCTTGCGAGGAGGGAGTTCAGAAAAGGAGAATGTTACCGCTAGATTAGATCAGTACAGTATTACCTTGGTGGAGCTGTTCAGGGGGCTGGGAGCAGGCTTGGCAGCAGCACTAGAAGCTGGACTGAAAGTGGAAAAGTGGGTATATGTGGAGTTAGACCCGGAAGTAAGGAAGATGGCGTGGAACCATGCTCTGATGCTACAACAGCAGTACCCAGTGCAGCTGACAAAGGGAGTGCTACGGGAAGCCATGCAGAACAAAAAGTGGGACGTGGGGCAGCTTAGCAAGGAAGATGTGAGAAGCTGGGGGAAGGTGGATTTACTCGTGGCCGGATGGGAATGCCAGGGCACTTCCAGAGCAGGAAAGGGGAAGGGCTTGCAGGATGAACGTACAGCCATGGTATCCGCTCTTCTGTCAATCATGAGGTGGGCGAGAGAAGCGGGAGGAGAATATGCTTACATACTGGAGCATGTGGATATGAGAGGAGATGCACGGGAGCCAGTCCGAGCAGTACGAGAGCTAGTGGAGGCAGAACTGGGTAGGGGAGTGAGTTGTGATGGCGCACAGCTGGGGGCATGGTGCCACCGAGTACGACAGTTTTGGCAGAATGTCCTGCCAGAGGGAGAACTGAGGGCAAGACTAGCAAGAGTGGAGAGGGATGGGACTCGGATAGTGGAAGACATTCTGGAACCGGGCAGAGTCGCCGCACCAGTGGTGAAGCCAGATCATCCGCGGCAGTACCAGTGTAACCGAGTGGGAGAGGCACGGAGAGCTTGGCCGACGTTGGTAGCCTACCCTCAGGCTCAGGGGTTCGTGGAGGTGGATGGGCAACCCGGTCCAGGGATGGTGTACGACTACCGAAAGAAGAAGTGGGAAGAGCCGACGGCCTTAGAACGAGAATTAGCCATGGGTTATCTGCCGGGGGCAACAGCTGCGGAGGGAATGGGAGAAGCAGTACGCAGAGCGGCTTTAGGCAGAGCCATAGACCAGCACACATTGAGGTGGTTAGTCAGGGAGATGAGAAAGGGTCCGACCAGCAGGAGAGGAAAGGCAGGGACAGAACAGGGACAATGCATCCTGCAAGCATCATACGTAGCTCTCAGTAAGACCACGGCAGGGATGAAGGCTGACCCCAGGACCACAGGGGGCAAGGAAGCAGAGCCAAGCAAAGACTGGGAATTAGGAGCTGGCATAGGGGAGCAAGTCGCTGCTGCAATTCAGGAGGTACTACGGCAACACAGGAACACTTTCGCGTACAACTTGTCAGAGCTGGGGAGGTATAAGGGGAGAGAGCTGGAGCTAAACCTCACCATGGAGCTGCCCACATATCAACGCAGGAGGAGGATGAATGCAGAAGATGCAGCCATATGTAAGGAGAAGTGCGAAGAGCTGCTGGCTGCAGGGATTATCCGCCCGTCAGAGTCAAGCTACGCCGTAGCCACAGTGGTAGCCGCTAGGAAAGATATTACAGGGAAGGTACTGGCGAAGAGGATGTGCGGGGACTTCAGAGAGCTGAACAAGATCACTAGTCCAGATAGGTATCCAATGCCAACTGCTGAAGACATCTTCGACCGTTTAGAGGGCGCCATCATCTTCACCACCTTGGACCTGCGGCAAGGGTTCAACCAAATAGCCATTAGGGAGGAAGACAAACGGAAGACGGCGTTCCACGGGGTGGATGGGCTGTATGAGTACAATGTGATGCCTTTCGGGATTCGCAACGCCCCTGCAGTGTTTCAGCGAGCCATGGATCAGGTGCTAAAGGGGATTCCGGCAGCAGCATGCTACATAGATGATATACTGATATTCAGCAGCAGCGAAGAGCAGCACGTGCAAGATCTGAAGCGGACGCTAGAGGCAATAGCAGCTGCAGGCCTAACGTGCCATCCAGACAAGTGCAAGGTAGC